CTTTATTATGACGTAACGACTAGTCGACTACTATTTTGAAAAACGTGTCGACTAGTAAATATTGGTAGTTGTGAAACCCCTAGATGAAGGTTTGATGAAGGTTTGATGATTTCCAGGTTCTGTGTTGGCGGTTNGGTCTGATGAAGGTTTGATGAAGGTTTGATGAAGGTTTGAGGAAGGTTTGATGAAGGTTTGATGAAGATGAAGGTTTGATGAAGGTTTGATGATTTCCAGGTTCTGTGTTGGCGGTTCAGAAGTTTTGCTGAAATCTGCAGCAAACACACAGCGGGGGGTTTCCATTAAACTCATGTGCAGGAACCGCATCAGTGAAAGCGCAAAGTGGCATTCAGGAGCATTAATGAGCAGATGCCCTCCTCCTCCTCCTCCTCCTCTTCCTCTTCTCTTACACCAGCTCCAGTTTCAATCGCCTCCTTCTGCCTGGATCTGATTACCCACAATCCCTCAATCCGACGAGAAAGCTTCCTGCCTCGCCTCAATGTGCCAGCTTGCAATTTATAGCTCTCCTTCACACACACACACACACACACACACACACACACACACACACACACACACACACACACACACACTTCCTCTGTGGGTGGCTGTGTTGCCCTGTTACATGCTTTGAGATGGCGGTGGTGTTTTTTGGGGTACGAACGGGGGGAAGTGTGTGTGTGTGTGTGTGTGTGTGTGTGTGTGTGTGTGTGTGTGTGTGTGTGTGTGTGTGTGTGTGTGTGTGTGTGTGTGTGTGTCCTGTGGCAGCTGGCCTTTGACTCAGCGTTAAAGCGATCCTCCACCCAGAGTCTAACTTTAGGAATCAATCACAGCGCGCTTTACGAGCGGTCCACCTGGCTGTGAAGGGCTGCAGTTTGTAGAGTTTCAAACACAAGTATTGGTTTCCAAATGTTCACTTTCTCTTAACAAATAAATAAATGTGTTTACACTCCTCCTACTTCGCCTTCACACATTCTGTTTCATTATATTCTTTATTGAAGTTAAAGTGAAAACACTTGTTGCTGCTCACCACGCATTAATACAAAATGTGTCGGATACATATCTAATAAATATATTTATCTCGACTCAAAGCTTCTGAACTACTTATTTGTTGGAGTCACTTCAGTTTTCGATGATGAAGACTGGGATGTCTCATTGGTTCCTTCAAAGTGCAGATTCAAAAATAAACTGACTCTGAACACTCCCTCTGGCTTTTTGAGTATGACAGACGTGCAAAACAAGCTTTTTGGAAACATCCCTTTCGGCTACTGAAAGTTATTACGGCGAAAAATCGATCTATTCAATAATCTTCAGATCAATCGATAGTGAAAAGATGTTTTTGTACCGTTTTAAAAAGGGACAATTAACAGCAACTTGTAAAAAGGTCAAATACATACTGTGTCTGAGCTTCATTGTTGCATGGAGTCTTTGTTATTGTGGATTAGAAAGTCTGTTTTGCAGCAAACAGCAGACTTTGGTTGCAGTTCGGCCCAAAATATGTTTTCTTTTTTTCAAATATCTGCATAATTTTCTGTGAAAATCAACAAACATAAAAAGCTTGTAGTGCGTTTTTTATCTCAAAGTCTTTCAGTAGGTTTAAGAAATGTTTTAAAAAGTCATAAGTTAAGGTTTTTTTGTGAAGTCTGTGAGGAAGCGCACACACACTCCCTCACTAACATGTTGGTCTTAACTACCGTAATTTTCGGACTATAAGCCGCGCCTTTTTCCCTATTTTTCGACGCTGCGGTTTATATAACGGTGCGGCTAATCTATGGATTTTTACAGCTAACGGCCACCACCTTTAACTCTATGGGCTCTATGGCCGGTCCGCGGACCCCCACCTTTAAGCGGCGGGTTCCAGCAGGAAAAGCTGGAGGCCGGAAAAGAGTGAGACAGGTAGCGCGTAAAAGTAAAAGTGGAACCGAGAGTGGTATGCTGCTGCTGCGGCTTATATTCAGGTGCGGCTTATAGTCCGAAAATTACGGTATTTGTTTGTTAAGAAAGGTAGTACATGTTTTTTCAGAGTTGTCTTTATTTCAGTTAAAGTTATAAAAACTGTTTACATAGACAAACTAATAAAATGCATCTAAATTAATTTGTCAGTCTGTAAAATACACAAGCACCAAGTAATCACCATTTCCTTTGTTCAGACCTGGAGGCCATCTTGTCCCAGTGCTCAAAGGGGGAGGCGGAGTCTTGGAAGCACTCCTTATATGTGGCGTATGAGTAGGCGGAGTCTTGGACGCGATTGGTCAGGAAATGTGTTATTTTATGAGTGTCAATTAGGTTAAAAACTATCCTTTCTAAGCAGACCTTGTCATTTTTGAAGGTATAATATGTATGGTGATGCAATAATGAATTTACTTAAGCCTTTAGGGTTTTATTAAAAGTAGACAACAGTGTTTAATTTTGTATTTAACCCTTCACTCCGCTTTCAGAACCATGACCTGATTGGCCAGGTTGGAGTGGGAAGGCGGGCAGTCTCCTATAAATGTTGTTGGGAAGAAAGGGGAAGGGCATGTTGTGTTTGTTCCTTGCTGGTGAATGCAGCACCAGGCATGCAGTTTGTGTTTCTGGATGAAGGCTAAGAATAAAACGCCTGTTTATTTTTTGCAAGAAAACCCTCTCTCCACGTATCGCTCTTTCACCTGCACCTCACATCGTAACAAAGTCATTCCAGATAATTGAGTAATTAGACTTTAATGTTACCTCCCAACGTGAACCCCGAGCTTTAATCATGACTTCCTTCAGCCCACACAGACGGGCAGAGAGTCTCTTCTCCGCCCTGCAGTCGTTCACAGCCTCACACGTTCATCAGCTCTCACTCCACGTATCAAAGAGAAATACTAAATAAATGAGACTCAGCGAAAACAGAACGTCCTCAAACAGTCTGATTTAGGAGTGTGTGTGTGTGTGAGGCTCGGTGTGTGTACTCTGCTCTCACTCAGCATCAGGTTGTGTTTAGCTGAAGCACCAGTAAAGGTCACGGCGGTGCTTTGTGGTTTCTCCTCTCTCAACTGAATGTCATGGAAAAACAACGCAACCAAAACTTCTGCTCTCCTTCGTCTTGAAGCTACGGGTTACGGGGTAAAGTAGGTGTCTTCATGAACTCCAGAGTTAGCTGAAAGGTCCGTGCACAGTTTGAGAAACACCCACAGTTACAGAAGGAAATGCAAAGCAGTGTTTTACAAAGTGAGAAGACATGAGAGTGCTGAATGTGTGCAGGAGAGGAAGAGGGAGTCAGGGGGATCAAAACAAACACAAAGCAGATCTGGGAACAGGTCAGGGCTTTCTGCAACGACAATACGACATGTTTGTGTTTACGCCTCTCTTTCCTCCCACAGACCAACGTCCTGCAGGACAAAAGGGTTTCTGTGCCCTGAACCAAGAAGACCAGGGAACATGTGAGGGGAACACATGCAAACATAGCTGCTGGTGGGTCAGCATTTAGGCATTCACAAGAAAAGACTTTAGCCAGCTTCAAACCAACTTTGCTTGGTTACATTTGGGCAATTGTGAACGCAGTAATCACACGATGAAAAACGCAACAGGTCCCAGAATGTTCTCAGTCCGTCTTCAAACAAACCCGAGTGCGGTTTGATTGCAGCAGCAACAAAATCATCTGAAACCAAATGCAGGGTTTTGTTGAGATGGTCACAGGAAAACGACAGGTTAGCACCGATAGCTGCCCACCTTGTCTCCCGAGAAGAACTCAAGCAATAAGGTGCACAGAATGTATTTATTTCATTTAGCTTAAATCAAATGCTACTTACGTAAACTTCAATGCCGTAGCAATTTGGAGATAATTGCCTTGCTCATGAACTGCAGGGGCTAGCATCGAATGACTAACCCTCTGATAGGTAGATTAGTGTGAGCTATAGTGTGGTATATATATCCATAGAGATAAACCAAGTAAGAAGGGATGTGTGCACACAGTAAATAAGTGCCGAGACAAATACAAAAAACGTTGACAGCAAAACGGCCACAAGAAAACGGTTTACTTTTTGTGTAAAACGATGTTCATGTAAATTCAGAGAGCTGACAGTAACCCGTGATGAAGGGATGTTCTCTTATGAAGAACAAGCTTTCAAACTAGCTCGTTGCTATCAGTCAATGCTCATGGCTTCAGATCTGCAAAGGCTGAGGAAGGTAGGCTCAGAAATCTCCTCCTTTATTCTCCTGATCTGATTAAGAACCTCGTTAACAATGAAAGCAAAGCCTCTGTTCCCTTTCTGCTCACTTCCCAAAATCAAGCCAGCTTTTAAAGGGGGA